TAGTACTTGAACATTTGAATATTTTGCTATATGTACATTTCATATAATATATATAAATAATGTATATATTTCAATAAAATTGTTTGAATTGTAATGGTATCAAAAATAAAAATGGATCCGAATCAATTGTTAAAGATTTAAATGCTGCAAATGCGACATATTGAAACAGTACAAGTATCGAGTGCGCTTGTAATTCTCTGACGTATGAATTAGCACGATCGGCGGCAGATCCGTATAATTCACCGTAAGCTTTACTATTGAATTTCTGCTTATCAATGTCATAAACAATTATTTCATTTGCTATTGGATAAAAGAGAGATGCAAAATAAAGACAAAAAATAATCCTGCAAAAAATATTATAATTTTCGCAGTTAAAATTTAGCAATATTTGCTTTATTTCTTTATATTAAATATTTCATTTATTAAATCTTATTTAGTAAATGTAAGATGTATGATCTTATTTAGTTATGTAAATTTATTTTCTTTATTATTTATATTTTATAAACAAAATAACAGTTATAATTCACCTTTATGATTCGTAGCCTCTGCAATTAAATCCTTGGAATATCGGAATCCAGCTGGAGCTTTGCTGACCTTTCTCATCGCTGATGTGCTATCAAGAAGGAATGTCAGGGTCAGCAATAACCATAGTATCCTCAATTCTCCGACACATAATGTCATTTCGATACTGCATAAAATTCCGCATAAAATAAGAAGTAAGTTCGAAGAACAAGAGGAGGCACTGAGATGCATCTGCAATCGTGGCTCCGATTTATTGCGCTGATACTACCTTTCATCGGTCGTTTTTCTTCACCGTCGCCAGCAATCATCTTTTTCCTGATGTCTCTGAAAGAACTTTCCTCTTCCGGACGGAAGATAACAGCGCGGAAAAAGGATGCGTTTTCTTATATTATTATCGCTACTTTCACTCGCCGTACTCATTGTTCGCGGTATGAACAAAAACAATAAAACTATGAGCAAACAATATATTTTGCTCTCGTCTTCGGTTATTAACGTTTCAGATTTTAATTTATTAATGCACTCTTGCTTTAAATAAATTTGTAAATTGTTAGTATAATTTTAATTTATCTAATCTAATTTATACACAATTTTGTTCTATTATTATTTATATAAATATTGTACATATTTGAATTGTAAATATACTTATATATTTTATTATATTATATATACTTATACATTTTATACACAGTTTTCTCTCTTTTACTTCTGAAAGGTCGAAAATATATAAAAAACATTGCAAAGGGATAAACACTTGGCGTCGCGACGTTTGATAATTCCATTTATAATTATACATTTCGTATATAATATAAGTATATAATATAAGTATATAATATAAGTTCGTATATAATATAAGTGTATTTTACCTATCTTTAGAAAAAGAAATCTTTCTTTAGAAAATGAGATAAAGTTAAAGTTATGACTTTTATGAAACCTAATACTTTTTTTCCGTTTAAAATCAGGAACAAGAAGAGGACATTCTGACCTTTACAATAATTAATTAATAAATTTCAAAAAATCAATTCATTAAAGAAATTGTTTAGATGATAACAAAATTAATAAACTTCCTTCCCCGAAAAGAATCTTGGGATATGACTGGATATAAAATTCTTGGGATACTGACAATGAGCCACTGAATAATAATATAAATATAATAATCGGTCTGATCGCAACTATGTATTATATATAGCCAAGAAGAAACGAAACCGCCATGCAAACAGTTAATAATTACTCTCTCTCTCTCTCTCTCTCTCTCTCTCTCTCTCTCTCTCTCTCTCAAAAAAAACTACCACTGTCTCTCTCTTTCTATATTTTTATATCTCTCTTTTCCTCACTCTTCTCGCCCTCCCTCTCTCCCTCTCTCCCCTCTCTCTCTCCCTCTCTCTCTCCCCCTCTCCCTCTTTCTTTCTCTCTCTCTCTCTCTCTCTCTCTCTCTCTCTCTCTCTCTTCCACTCTTTCTCTCTGAAATGTCTATCTCGCCATGATATAATTCTCGGCTTTCCCTGTTTTATTTTCGCCACTATGGAAAAACCGATAAGCCACACGAAAGGATATTTTAATACAATTTCATAATGCATAATGAATTCATCTGCCGCATAATTAGAATTATTAATGCGCTCTATGCATGTTGAATTGTTCCGCATTAATGGGTTACAAACTGTTTCTCTATATCGCAATTGGTTTCACAACTCAAATGTTTCTCCGATGATCCACATGATTATTGACTATATTGCACTTATAACGAATCAATATTTGTGTAAATTTTTTATTAATTTTTTTTCATTTTTAGTTATAAAAAATGTAACTGTACTTTTGACCCAGAGTGAATTTTTTGTTACAAAAAATATTTTTTCTCGGTAAACATATCGACTTATCTAGATGTTAGTTATCTATGTAAGTCATTCCATCAAATTTTATTTCTTTATTATTTTTTTTAAATATACATTTATTTTAACAATTTCATATTTCATATTTTCTCAGTCAACTTTGAAACTCATTGAATAAGCACTTAAACATAATGTACAGCAATTTATTTTACGCAATACTATCTCGTTCAGTGAGAGATTAAGCATTTTGCCGCCCCTAGGCATCAATACCTAGCCGCCTCTAGATGGCTTCATTAATTTATAAATTTGATAAAAAGGAAAATGGATAAAAAAAATTATTTATACCCCCCGCATTAGCTGATAAAAACAATAATCCTTAATAAGTAATATAAATATAATACATTTTTAACTAGAGTAACTCCGGTATATACGCCGCACTTATCAAAAATTAATTTATTAAGTATTATTTACTATGTTAAAGTAAACGAACTATATCAAACTACATAAAGTAAAAACTTTTTTTGTACTGTCTACTATTATAAAAAAAATATTAGAAATCTGAAATATTTATATTTCGTATTAAAAAATGAAGTGAAAACTTTTTTAAATTCTTGCATTTTCCGTATATCCTATAGGGATGGGAGAGGGGAGAAGAGTATGTACGGCTCATGAAATAATGCATATAAATAAGATGTCAAATGACACAATAATTTATAAAATGCGTTTATAAAATTTTTAAAGAACAAAAATGATAAATATGTATATGAAGTAATAAATAATAATTACAATCTTCCTATCTGTATTACAAGTGTTGGATACCCGAGATCAACCATTTATGTTGTGATAAAATATAACTTTAGAACAATCCAACAAAGCCAGCGAAGAAGAGTCACTCGAAAAAACGCACTGCGAGGATCCCTCTGCGCAGTCGAAAGGGCTCAAACGTTGATTTCGGATGATCCAGGGCAATCGTTGCGAAAATTAGCATCAATTGTTGGTATAAGAGCCAACAATGCATCGAATTGCCGAGGAGGACCTTCGATACAAATCGTACACATTAAATATACGACAGATGCTCTTTAAGGCTGCCAGGACAAGCCGAGTTACTCGCTGCAATCTGCTATTGTATTCTTTGAAAAACGAAGCGTCGGAACGAATTAGGTTCTTTTCTGACGAAAAAAAACTATGATTTTGATAAACCAAAATCAATCGGAACAGCTGATTCAAAGATAACAGAGAAAAGGTTTTTTGCATCGGATTGTGACTGGAGATGAGAAGTGGATATTCTACGACAACCCCAAAAAGAAAAAATATTACGCTAAGCCAATCAATCGTTGTCCATCGATCTCAACATCAACACCACGGCCGAACATTCATGATTCGAAACCTATGCTCTGTATCTGGTGGGATCAAAAGGGTCTTGTTTACTATGAGCTGCTGAAACCTGGCGATTCCATTACGGGCGATCGGTATCGGCTACAATTGATTCGTTTGAACCGTGCATTGCGAGAAAAACGGCCGGAATACGAGCAAAGACATGATAAAGTTATTCTTCTTCATGACAACGCTCGGCCTCATGTCGCTAAAGTCATAAAAAAATATTTGGAAACGCTCAAATGGGATGTTTTACCGCACCCGCCGTATTCTTCGGACATTCTCCTTCTGTTTACTGGTTGTTCCGAAGAATGCAGCAAGTCACTGGTTCACTTCTTTCGCAGAAATCGAAAATTGGCTCGTCTCCAAAGATGAATCACTTTTTCGAGATGGAATTCGAAAATTGCCTGAGAAATGGGAAAAAGTATAGAATATAATAGTAATAGGCAGCGATGGACAATACTTTAATTGATCTGTTCATTCATTTTGTTTTGAAATAAAAACGTAAAAAACGGATTGAACTAATTTGTACTCCCAATAATATTTAATTTTTCATTAAAAACATTTTGTTTAAAGAAATTGTTCGATTTCTCCGAATTTTGGTGACGCACCCTATATTATATGTGTTTTATATATGTTTACAATGTTCTTATATGAAAAATTTTTATCGGGGGATCAAAGAAATTACAATCAAAAGAATACTGAATATTTTCAAAGTAGGCTAAAATCATACCTGATAGGGTTGTTATTTCAATATACCCGAGGCTATTATGAATATTATGTAATGCATAAATAATAGGGAATTATCCGGCTTAGCCCCCGCGAGCACCGAGCACATTGGTGGTTTACTCGTCAACATTCCCTCATTTCTAGCGAACGCACTCTTATTGCAAGTGCAATCCGTTAAACAGCTAACGAGATATCGGTAAGCAAATTAGTCAACAGGCACAGGTGCACTATCACACGGTAACGGCGGCTGTATTACTATCCCCATCTGCGCAACTCACCGGGTCTACATTAATACGCGTAATTCGATTTTCATCATCCTCTATATAATCGATGTCAAGTGACATGGACACTCGCGCAAGAGCAAAAGAACATTTTAAACTGTCTTCTCTTCGAGAGATCATCATTGCGAAACTATTCTGTCATACGCCATCGATGTAATCATCGGTGAAAAAAGAAATAATTTTGGTGCACAAGCGATTTAAATGGTTATTAAATGGTTATTAAGGTAATCATATTGTCAAAGTAAAAAAGGTGAACTAAACGCTTCAACAAATGAGTGACGTGAAGAACGATAAGAATATGGAAGCTACGGGCACAAATGATTATGTGCTTCACCTTCCACGTCCGCTCACTCTTGAAGAAAAGAAATATCTATTGACTGTAGAGAGAGGTGATTTGTCTAACGTGAAGAGGCTTTTACAGCTTGCAAACAAGAAAAAGGTAAATTTTAAAGAAAAATTTAAAGATTAAAATGGAAATAAAAAAAAGTTTTGGAATAAATAACCTCGCTGATTTTGCAAAAAAAAATATTTTAATATGAAAAACTATCTTTTCCGAAATCCATAACATTTGCTGAAATTAAAGAATAAAATTTCCCATACAGCAGAGAAAGATTGCAGAAACATTGCAGAATGATTTCACTGAAACATTACATTGCAATATTGCATGGTGGTTGCGAAATGTTGTTGAATTGCAAAATTCCAACAATGTTAAGATGTCCGCTTTTTGTTATATTGCAACAAAACGTTCCAGCAATATTGCAATGTAATGTATTTGAATAAATTTTTTATGAAGACTTTAAAATGAAAACTACTTCTGTACATATATTTCACTAACTTTCATTTTTCTATAAATCACATTTCTAGTGATATGTACTTTTCAAGAGCAATTTTTTATGATAAAACCATAAAATATTCCAATAAATATAATATTAATTCTAAAGAATAAATTTATTCGTTAAGGAAAAAGCATGTATGTGTGTGCCCCGAAACAAAACTACAAATATTATCCACATTAATAATAATACAGTTAATCATGGATTAAGTTAATCGCAGTGATTCTTTTTAATTCGAAATCACTTCGAGTTGAAATCGATTAAAAAAAGGCGATATGAAATTTATCAATAAAGTTCAGGCGCTGGTTTATTCTTGCGTTCATATCAGGCATAAATATATTATTGATCACATAATTAATATTTCAATAAATCGTTTTCAGCAGCTTAATTGCTTGTTGTCTTATTCGATAATGATGCATTGATTATATCCTCGATATTATACAATCTTTTGATTACATATTTAAAATAAATATAAAACTTAGTTAATGAAGTGGCCGTCAAATAATAAATCAATCAATGTTTTATTTAAATATAAAATGAATTATATTAATTATTATATCATAAAAAGACTATTAAGTTAAAAGACTGTACTACATAAATATTGTAAAAATTTATATTATTTATATTATTTTTATATTATTATTATTGTAACAATTAAAGAATTACAGTTTTGCAATTTTTGTGGAATATTACAAGTATATTACAAATATATTACAAGTATATTACTGATTTTGCAGGCATGTTAATTTATTGTTAATTTTAAAAAATATCAATTTTTTAAAAATCTTTTTCTAATTTTAGCCTCAGTATACATTATTATATAAGACGGTCAAGCTAGTTAAATGGAATATCAAAATCTTATTACCATATTATATTATTGTGCTCATATGTACATATGTAATTATTTTGATAGTTCAATAAAATTATTATTTATAAATGTGTATTTGCTTAAGTTTTATATATTATAACAAAACTGTTCCTTTTGTGCAAAAATGTAATTATAAATAAACAATTATAAATAAATTATAAAATAAACAATTTTATTGAAAATAAAATTGCATTTCTCTGAAATATTACATTGCAATCTGCAATATTGCAACATTACAGCAATATTGCTTCAATCTTCTGTGCTATATGGGTTTATTTTGTTCAGTTTTATTAAAATTGACCTTTAATTGTAAATGTATCCACGAAATTCTGGAAATAATTCGCGCATAGAAATTATAGTAACAATTTCGTAGAGTTAAGGTAGGCCGAAATTTCTTAATATGCTTCACGTTTTAGATAAAACAGCTAGACATAAATTGTGTAGATAGTTTGGGTCGTGGTGCCCTCACGCTGGCCATAGAGGCGGAACATTTAGAAATGGTTGAGTTGCTTGTTGTGATGGGAGTTGAAACTAAAGATGCTCTGCTTCATGCAATTGATCAGGAATTCGTAGAGGCAGTCGAATTGTTGTTGGAACATGAAGAACTCCTTACGAACCAAATAACTGAAAATTGTGAGTCAAAATTGATTTTCAAGTTACAGTATCTCGCAAGTACAGTATCTCAATTGTCGCCATCGTATACGGAAAGAATGGTTTTGCTGAAGTATATAAAAGTTGAACCAGATACAAATCTAAAAACAATTATGTTATACTAAAGATATGTTATACTATTTACATTCCCGGTCAAAAGTTTCGAGACATTTTCAAAAATTGATATTTTTGTAATTATTTATTTAGATATCTAGTAATGTTTATCTAGTAATTTTTAACAATATTTTTAACAATACTCCTTTCAATCCAATAACTGTTTTTTTTTCTGAAAAATCTGAAGAATTATTTTTAAAAAACATTGTTAATAAATGTTGAATAAAAATCTCAAAAATATCAATTTTTTAAAAATCTTTTTCTATTTTTAGTATACATTATTATATAAGACTCAGTATACATTATTATATAAGACGGTCAAGCTGGTTAATTGGAATATCAAAATCTTATTACCATATTATATTATTGTGCTCATATGTAATTATTTTGATAGTTCAATAAAATTATTATTATTATTATTTATTATTATTATTATTATTATTATTATTAA